GACCCTCAATCACTGAAGCTAGTAATAAGGAACGTGGTGAGGAGCCCATTAACGTTATGCCTGGGGTAAAAAGGATTGTGATGGTTAACGCGGTGAGGCGTGTTGTGTAGATCTTAAGTAAGCCCGTGAACAAGGTCGACATAAATTTTAAGACTCTCGAGGACTTTAGCCGTGAAGATTATAACAATATCCACAAATAGTTAGAGGAGTGTACGCATGTGGAGTGTGAGATGAATGAAATAATAACTTCATTGGAGTGTAGTGTAATAGACTTGGAGTCTTACTAAAACAACTTGCACCACTTTACAACATACTCATGAATCATTCACTATCCTGTAAGCTCAAGTAAGCCTTTTATGCTAAGATCGCTAAGAGAATGAAAGCGAAGACTTAGAGAATTTTTGAAGGGGGCTTTATATTTCTTAGATGATTTACAAATGAGATCCCTTATATTTATACTACTCCATAGGGGGATAAAGTGTAAATAAAAAATACTACAGAAGTTCCTAAGTTATTTACACATTGGTCCATGTTCTAGAAAAGTCTACACTTTCTAGGATTTTCCAAAGCTTTCCTAGAAAATATCTATTCTCTCTTCTAGAACTTTCCAAAGCCTTCTTGAAAGTTTAGACTCTAGGGGCTTCTAGAGTTTTCTATAAACCTCTATAAAACTCTAGACTCTTCCACCCCTATCAGAATGGAAAATCTTCCTGAGAATTGGCAAGACGTAACAACTCCCCCACATATTGATGCCACAACCGCGTCACATCATCGCTGATTTGCCAACCAAGTCTTGTCTTCTCGTATGCACGACCAAGAGTCCGTTAACTTAATCAATGCCCTCGCCCAACTCTTTCAAGTGCTTTTTTATCTCTTATAACTCGGACTCATGATCCACCTCCTTTCTAGGAGGAAAGCACCTCGGAGGCTTCTTTGCATCACGATCTTGGAATCTTCTTCGTGTACGGTGAAAAGTATTTTTAGCAGCATTTTCTTCTTTAGAACTTGTAATGGTGGCTAAAAATGTTAACTTCTCCTTCTTAGGATTTTTCTTGAGCTGCATGATCGTTAATCGAACCTGTCGTTCTGCCTTCGATGCCTTAACCATGGGAACCATTCATGTTCCTCCTTGCTCCATGACTATATATCATTGGAGGTAAGAATTGATCATAGCGTGACACTGCTAAAAGAAATATTTCCCAGGAATAATACCAAAGACGTCTAAAGTTGTGACAATAAAATTGTCGTACCTTTCAACTCTCCTAACACGATGCTTACTCAATGCGCAACTCCACACACGGGAGTCTGTGGTGCAATCACCGTGCTGAGTTTGGTGTTAGTTGGACTGTATATAATTCTCAAAATTTTTATTATCGTTTTGGTAATAATATTGGACACTATACCTATGTCGATCTTAGCATGAGTGGGTCTTCCATTGATAGGTAATCTCGACATACTGTGCACCATATTCTTTTGTCTTTCCTAGTTTTTTTATAATGGCTCTGCATAGTTCTATCAAGCCTATCTGCATCATCTCTATGCCTTGTCCTTGATTTTATGCATCCTTCTCCTTCAACTCTCGTAGGATAGCACCAAGGCTCTTCAGTTTAGGGCACCTTACACAGCCATGCAACCCACTGCATATGTAGCAACCTTCCTCTTTGTAGGTTCCATCCTTCACTCCGCATTGCAATGACATGAGACTTATAGGTATCATACTTCTTGGGATATGGACGCTGCTCCTCAACTTTGCAACAATCTCTCCCACCATAGTCTTGACCACCTTTCTTCTCTTCTTTTCTGGTCCTATCGAGATTCTCATGCCTGAAGTCTGTCAATGCTTTAGATTGTGTGATGGCTTCATCAATAGTCCTGATTTGTCGGCGTTCCAACTCCTTCGTAGCCCAATTTTGTAGCCCATACATGATGTGGAACAACATATCGTCATTCGTGATGTTGGATATCTGAAGCGTGAGGGTGGTGAACTTCTGCACATATGTGTGTATGTTGTACGTATTCTTTAGCTCCCTAAATTTGCGCTTCGCCTCATAGATTACGCTATTAGAGAAGAATTCCTTCTTGAACTCCTCTTGGAATTGTTCCCATGTGTTAATGGTTCAATGCCCTTCACTATTTCCAACTCTTTACACCTCCACCACAACATGATCATCTCTGAAATATACAACATAGCAGTATTGATGTTACTCTCGTCGCTACTCAGCCTGTTGCACTTTAAGTAATTCTCCAAATGCCACAAAACATTCTCCATTCTTGATCATCACAAACGCCTTTGAACATAGGTGGCTTAGGAGTCTCGACCTCGGCCTCCCTATCTCTGTCAAATGACAATGATCCTCCAACTTATGCCGTTTTCTTGAGTGCTTTTATCTCGGCCTTCATGTTCTCAATCGTGCTCAATGACTGCATGAGCCTACACTTAAAGGGAGTGATAGCCTCCTTCATCTCGAACTAGGTACACTAGTGTTCCTCCAACTTCTTG